GTGTTGGGGTCGTAACTCACGAGTCTAAACTTTCTGCAAGTTAAAAGATACGCACTAACTTAGTTGTTGCATACGATGCATTAATTTATCCAGTCTGGTAAGTGATGTGCAGTAGCTATAGTATATAATATGTCCTATGCACCTCTTACTGTGCAGTGTAGACTAGATAGTATGTGAATGTGGTGTGATTCTTAAGGATGTCCTGTGCAGGTCCAAAAGTTAGACTCCATGATCTTTGTGGATCTCTTCTAACTCAAAATATGATATTTTATATATCATATACACTTTTATATACGATGTATGATATCGTATGTATATGATTTTATATATCATGTACACTTTATATACACTTTTATATACACGTGATATATGCTTGGATCTGGTGCTTAGTACTAGCCTCTGGATTGTGTTTGGCATAAAGGCTGTAAGTAAGCTAATAAATATATCCTAGGAGGAATATATACACACATATTCATCTTGATTCTCTACACTCCACTCGGAATAATAAAGCTTATGTTAATCTAACAATTAGATTGGTTACAGATACATACTAAAAATACGAAATAACACGCACACATTTTTATAAACTTGCAGCAAGGTGTRAAGGGTTTAGCTGCAGTTGGGTTAAATGTGTACCTACACATGCGCTTAAGTGCAGAAACACAGAGATATACACACACAAATCTATATGCAATTTTTCTTTTTCTTGCCTTAACACGCTTCCCAGTTGCTGCCTCTCCCGGCTGGTAAGTTCAGGACATAGAGCCCCAAGCCATTCGGCACTGTCTCGAAGAGGATGTTCATGGATACCGTGATGTTCATGAAACACGTGATAAGAGCCGAGTTTTGCATCTCTGGCGGTTTTTCGCGGGAGCAGTGCCCTCTGCTGATCTTCCGGAGGGTTTTTTTTAGGAGAAATCATTGTGCGTACTGTGTCAGTGTTATGAGTTTATAGCTCTTTCATTTCATTGTTCCGGCCAAGGCAAGGTTAACCTTTCCAGGAGCCAGGAGGGGCACAGCCAGCTCCCTGGRGATATTCGATGCCTCCTCAGCCATTCGCTGCGGGCACGGAAAGGGAGGGAGTTATTCCGGGTTTTGSCGAGTGTAGGGTCGGGTGAGCACCGGCGCGGGAATCGTTCGCCTGTTTTGTACACTCTGTTGCCAATAGTGGTGTTGTTCATKCTCGTTTTTCTTCCTTCATTGCTGTTTGTAGTCAATTGTTCCCATCTCATCCTGTAATCCCTTATGTTTTTGTGCCTTCATTTCTCCTCTCCATCCTGCCACGGCGGGAGCAGGGGGAAGGAAGGGGGGGGGGGAAGTGAGCGAGCAACGAGGTCTGGGGTATTTCARTAGAAACAATAAATGGCAGAGTACCGTTCCTATACCGCAGCAGTGTTGTGACGGTGGGAAAGTGCTATGCAATGTAAAGCTGTGCTTCTGTTCAGATTTTCTTAGGGCTTTTTTGTTTTTATTTAGTCAGGCAACGAGTTCTTCAGAGACAGATTCATCAGCTGCATTTGGGAGGAGARGGAAAATTGAGGTTGATTGTCACAGAGCCTGAAACAGCACTAGCTACTCAAGAGGAGACGCTTGAAGAAAAATCAGTTCCCACAAAGGTGCATAAAGATTGTAATCCTAACCAGATCTTTGGAGTAGTGGTGAGAATGTCTAATCCRTCACTGACATTTGGCTTTTATTTTATTTTAGGCTTTGGTTGCCATGGGAAACCTTCAAATAAAAGGTAAAATGTTATCCTTCACTCTCTTCTGATTCTTCATAAAACTAAATACTGCTGCTTTTCTCCACACATAGCTCCAGTTCTGTGGGGAGTTTTGCTCAAAGTTTCTGGGTTTGGCAGCATGACKCAAGTGATACAGGGAAGGAGTTTTGGCCAGGGATGCTGCCAGCTTGATCACCAAGAATGGAGTTCCATACAGTCCTGGATTTAGCTTCTAAAACAGCCCTTTTAAAAACGAGAAGCATCTGTGCAGAGGGATTTAGTTCCTGTATCATAAGATCTAAGATCTGATCTGCATAGAAGCACCTAAATTGAAGGTCTTAAGTTCAGGCCAGGTGTCCTTGTGCTCCCTAATGTTGTGAGAGTCTGTGGAGGCAAGTGGTGCATCTCCCCAGAACTTCAATGACTTTGGTTATCTTTCAGAAAGACTCTGCAAAGCAAAATATTTCAGAAAGCAATCTAGAAAACAGGACTGCAYACCCAGATATACCTGTATCCATGCAGAGTAAATACTCAGCCACAAGACAGATCAGTTAATTAGGAAGTTTTTTCAGTAATTACACTGCTCATCTTTCCATTTACATATGTATTGTCATTTGGTGCCATTTGGGGCCGTTTTGCTTCTCTCAAAGTTAGGTTCTCCAAGTTGTCATCTATTTTTTGGTTATACTGGAGAGGAGCCTGAAAATCTCCCGATGCTCTTCCCAGTTGCTTTGTTGGGTCAGCCTTGCTTTCTGGTATTTGCCTTTTTGGTATTTTCTTAATTGGACAGAGTGGAGCAGATGACTCCTTCAGCAACCTGGAAATTAATCTGCAGAGCTGTTGCTTCTTATTTCTTTTGTTTTCTTCTTGTTTTTGGTGGTAGGCCTTSAAAGGCAGCTGTTTTCTGGAGTTGTTATGGGTTTGATATCAGTTGTTTTTGTACCTCAGCGAGCAGGCAGAGCCAGCCTGTTGGTCATTCCAGTTCAGAAATTCTCTCACACCTCCCCCCTTATCTGTCTGCAAAGCTGGATGCACATGGGCTCTCCAGCGCTGTCATGCTGCACTGATGGCAGGGCACAGTGGTCACCAGGGGGCTTTGCCTTGAGTAATGCAAACAACTGGTGGCCTGTGGTGCTGTGGGTGTCCTGAGCTATGCTCAGGCTTGTTTTGCCRCACCTGAGCTGAGAAACAGATGCAGAGGTCTCTCCCAACCCTTACTGATGCCTGAGCAGCCACAGCCTGTTTATGTCAATGGATTTTAGTTTAGTTTGGTCTCTGACTCCGASACATACCAATGACCTTGGACATGTTTACTCATGCCTAGCATTTTGCCACCAAAGAAGCTGCCTGCAACCCTGCAGAATATTGCATCTGGGCTGTTTTGGATCTCAAAATGTCCAGAATTACCCTGCAGTATTTGTTTAGTTACCAGTCTCATTTCCTAGGGAAGGAAAGGAGAGAAAGGGTAAGAAGAATCTGTTTATCTCAGGAAATGTGTACCGATATTTTATGTGGTTTATTTATCTTTCTGCTTCAGATGATACAGAAGACTTGCAGAAAACAGAGAGTTGTGTTCCAAACAGTGAACTCTTGGAGAAAGCTGACTCTGCAGAGGCCTCACCTTCGGTGGTGTTTGAGAACATAGAGAGATGCAGTCCAGACTGCTTACGGATGCTGTTGGAGAGCATCAGCGAACTGACTGTAGATGCTGACTTCACTGTGGAAATGATACCTGAAAGAAATGCTGCTGTAGCTACCTTTATGAAAAGTATTGGTAAGACAGGATGACACCATTATTCGTTTCCATGTATATGAATGAGCAATAGCTTTCAGAGCTTGATTCCTCTCTCATTAGAGATCCACACTGTTCTTAAAAGAAGTACCTGGATTGAAGTCTCTCAAGAAAGAAATCTTATATACAGCTCCACAAAAGGGCCTATGATCCGAGTGTTACACTGAAAAAAAAGAAAATTATGGCATCTTTATTAGTTGAAATTGGATAATATGTTTTGTTGGTTTTATCTTATTTTAGGTTAGATGCAGAAGAATTAGAAGTGCACTGAGTGTGGGGATTATATAAAGTCCCCTTTATAGAAAGAAGACAGTACACTTAGGAGATGGGAACAGTAACATAGTGGTAGTGAATAGCAACAGGGTTGTGTGCTTTTCCCCTTTTTATTACAGCATAGAGTTATTTGGCATCAGACAGAGTTTCATTCCAAGTACAGGGAATAGACTGCTCATTTCTCTGCCTGAAGCGATAGCCAGGRCTGATAATGACCCAGGAAAACACAGTCAGTTCATATTGCTCTTCTTTCACAGATACTAAGGAATTTATTGAAAAATGTTCACAACACAAGAGAGTTACAGAGTTCAAACTGACTGCCAGGCTTCTTGAATTGACCCAGACCATCAAGGCTGAAAACCTCCCAGACAACATTTCCACAGACTACCTCACAGTGTACTTTGAGAGTGCGCGGAACGGAGGGGGACCCGTGTCAGATGTGCAGTTCTTCCCTGAGGAGAACTCGGCCATCATTACTTTCTGCGACCGCAAAGGTAACACTTCACCTGACCAAGGTGCTTACAGGCAGATAATCTGCAAGAAAATTAGTGCAAATGTGGGCATTAGAAAAGGCCTGGTTTTTGCTGTTGAAGTTTGTGTACACTGTCCCGTTCCTGGGAAATGCTGCTGCATGTCTAGGGCTTCAGAATTTCTTGGGCAGGGGGATTCTGTTTGTTTTGTTTTTTGCTACCAAAGATTCATTTTAATACMTGCCTTGCATGGGTTGTTCTCACTRGTGTTTTTTGCCTATTTGCAGATGTTTTTATCTGCGATGCTGTATTAATTATACTTACAGGTAGAGGGAGGTAGCAGGACTTGTCAATTACTTCAGCTTTCAGACTTAACTTTCAGAAACTGATTAAGGACAAATACCTTCATTTTCAAATTATTTAATGTCAAATATCTTCATTATCAGGGAATAATAGAGCTAAAGAACAATCTTTTACTATTCCTCGTCCTGTTTTTRTGCCAGTGCAACTTCTGATAAATATCTGTTAGGAGAGTCCTGGCTTAGTAAATTTACTTTGAGATAAAGGTTTATCTGGCAGGTGATTTTCTTCTGACTCTCAGAATTTTCTGAAGAATATTTTGTACAGTAAGTTAAAATGTGATTTGGGTCATTGTAATAGGGTCTTAAGTTCCTGCCAACATTATCATTTCTTTGCTTAGTCCATTCCAACAAAAATGASAGAMGAAAAAGTAAAAATGCACTGGCACAAAGAGTTTTAAGTTGAGGGCTAGGAGTATATCATAGAGTTGGTATGGCCTTGCTCTGTGGTGAAGTTTCCCTGGGAAACAAGCAGGCTGTACCTCTGCACAGGAATGCAGACACAAGCATATTTACCAAACAATTTGGAGCCAAGCCTTTTATCTTGTCCCCCTACAGAGTGGTTTGGAAATGAGAAAGACATAAAAACAGCTCTTTGAAATGAAAGAAAAAGAAAAATCAATGTTAATAGTTCTAATAACAGAGACATTTCCCTGATTTGATGTTAATGATATATTTATGTGTGTACTTATGTGCACTTTTAGATCTAACCACGGTCTTGGAAAAGCAACATTTACTGGAACAGACACTGATTTCTGTGCATCCSTATTACCACTCCCTGAGAACAGCTCTCTATGGAGAAGAAAGACCAGCTGTCAAGATACCAGACGCTGTTGGGGTGCCACTAGACCCGTATGTATGGCAGTTTTTACAAAGGCATGCCAATCTGACCCAGAACATAAACCAGGAAATGGCAATTTGCCATTGTGAGCTCAAATGGCCCCAGGCAGATTGTGCAAACCCAGAAGTTACGTTGTGCCCATCGCCATCTCTCTGTGAGCAGAAAAAGCCAATGATTAAGTTGCTCAAGACCTGGCAGCAGGATGCTTCCACGGAGTTCTCACGTATCATGGCACRTTACATAGCTATAAAATGTAAAGTAAATTCGTCCCGTTGGGAAGATGTGAAAAACAGGTTGTTGAAAGATACTGCTTTGATCATAACKGATGTTTCTGAGGAGATGGTGGTGATTGCAGGCAACAGGGCAGCAGTGGACAATGCAGAGAAGGAAGTGAGGAAATGCATGAAGCAAAGAGAAAAGGGAAAACAGAGTATAGAAATTTCTGTGTCAGTGATTCCGGGGAAGTATGCTGTGCTGCACAATGCTGGATTAATAGAGAATATTCAGAAGGAATATCCATGCCTAAAGATCTTTTATGATGACAAAAAAAAGACTGTTCAGTTGTGTGGATTACCTGCAGAAGTATATAAAATCAAAGCTGACTTACTGGAGAAGGTATTGAGTATGCCATGTACATCAGTTACCATCGATCCCCATGTTTTCCACTATCTGCGGTGTGTAGATAATAAAAAAACCTCAGATATGTTATTCATTAGGGAAAAAATCAATACTTTTTACGAACTTCAGGATGATASTGTGTTGCTATATGGACATGCTCCCAAAGATCTTCTAGAAGCAGAAAAGCAAATAAAAACAGGCTTAGAATACAAGTGCATCAATGTGGAGGACGGTGAAGTCATTAAAAAGAATGAGTGGAAGAATCTTCTTGTCTCATTGCTCAAAACATATAATTCTTCCCAGGAAATTGTCAACACTTGGCAGTCTGTTGGAAAAGAAAATAAAATTATTATTGCTGGCTTTTCTAAGGCTGTAACAGAGGTTTATCAGAAGCTTAATGATTTTGTAGATAGGAACACAGTCATGGGAAAAGCAATCCCAGCTAATTCAGTGGTGATAGTGCAGTTTGTAGAGAAGGAGAAATCTGGTGTTTGTGAAGAACTGAAGAAGAAAGGTGTGAAAGTACGTTTTAACACCAAGACACCATGTATTTCCCTGTGGGGACCAAGAGCAGAAGTCCCAGAAGCATTCACCATGTTTGAAAAAATTGTCTCATCCCTTCACTCAAAGAATGTGCCAATTGATAAACCAGGGGCAAAAGAGTTCTTCACTGAGAGAAAAGATTTATGTGTTTTAGAGGCAAAGCAGAAATTTAGCTGCTTCATTAGGATTAAGGAAGAAGAAGATGAACAGAAGGATGAAAAAGTTGGTGATAAAGTGAAAGGAAAGCTCTACTATGAACAAAACCTGCCAGGTGGAGTTGTGGTGGGAGTGTATAAAGGTGACTTGTGTAATTACCCTGTTGATGTTGTGGTGAATGCATCTAATGAAAACCTAAAACACATTGGTGGCCTRGCTGAYGCCYTGTCAAGAGCAGCTGGCCCAGCACTGCARGAGGAGTGTGATGAGCTGRTGAGGAAGCACGGGAATTTACAGCCYGGCTGCGCAGTGATCACGGGCGCCGGGAAACTGCCCTGCAAGAACGTCATTCACGCTGTCGGGCCCAGGTGGAGCAACCAGGAATCACCAAGGTGCATGTGGTTGTTAAGAAAGACAGTGAAAAAATGTTTGCAGCTAGCTGAAATATACAATCATCGTTCCATAGCTCTGCCTGCTATAAGTGGAGGGATTTATGGCTTTCCACCGMGGATGTGTGCAGATTCAATTGTATCCTCTGTCAAGGAGACCTTGGAAGAATTCATGGAAGACTGCAGCTTGAAGGAGGTCCATCTTGTGAGTAATACAGAAGAAATGATTCAGGTTCTGAGTGAGACAGTAAAAAGAGTATTTTCAGCTAAATCATCCTCCCCAAAACGGCTACCGCTGAAAAAAAGCCAGAAGGAGAGGAGGAAAGGGGATCTGAATATGGTTACAACAAATGAAGGACTTTGCATCCGAGTGGAGAAGAAAAATATTCAGGAAGCCACGGTARGTCTTTACTTTTCTGACTCCTTTCKGACTCAATTTAAGTGAGTAAGGAAGGACGGTAGTAGAGGGTAGACGTGWATTTCAGGATGTTTCATTCCCAGCTAGGTCCAGTTTGTTTTCCAGATCTAAGGCTAACATGTACAAGAGTTTGCTTTTTTTTTTCCTAAAGAGAAAATAGTAAAGTACTTTTAAAAATATTTGTATGATCTGTAGCTATCTTGGTTGGATATTAGGGGAAATGGGTRCCTGTCTGGCTGCTGTTTTGGGTATCCACTGGCATCTTATTTCTTTTGCTGTGTGTTTCTTTAGTAGGGCTTTTAATCTTGGWGCATATTTCTTTTCCTTGAATTCTGGCTATAGTTATTTTCATTGTAATCTTGTTGCAGACTGATGTTGTGGTCAACAGTGTTGGCACAGATCTGCAGTTTGGCGTGGGGCCTCTTTGCAAAGCCTTGCTGGAAAGAGCTGGACCAGCTCTTCAAGGAGAGTTTGACACCCAAAAACAAAGTGAGTCTGGGAGTGTGCTCCACACCAGTGGATGTGCTATGGCCTGCAAGTCCATACTTCATGCCATACTACCTGTGTGGAATGGACGACATGCAGAGGAGGTATATTTTAATTATTACCCCCCCCCCCCCCAACTACATATTTATTTGGAATCTGTCTTGAAATTTCAGGTTTTAACATAGTTGACCTAKACAACTTTATTTTCTTCTGTTGGAGTGACTTTAAAGATGCCTTGGTGCACTCAAGCTGCTTGTCATAGCAGTTTCTTTGAAACTAATAATAAATTTTACCTTTTAAAAAAGTATCTTTGCTGTGTTTTACAGATCCTAGAAGATATAATCCATTTCTGCTTGAAGAAAACTGAAGAACTTGGACTGAAATCGATCACTTTCCCAGCTATTGGGGCTGGAGGATTTGGATTTCCTAAAATCATTGTTTCTAAGTTAATGTTTGATGTGGTATACAAGTTCAGTAGATATCACACTCGGAAGCATCTCCAGGAAGTCCATTTTGTCTTGAATCCAAAAGATATTGATAGYATTCAGGTAGTTCTCAGGACAAAGCTGTCTCTGTAACATACTGCTCTAGTTACACTTTAATAATCTCTTTTATGTATACTGTTTCTTAAGGGAATAATTTGTCACTTTCTTATGGCTGTGGTCCAGTGACAGTGGGATTTTCCAGTGTCTCTGAGATACAAAATCTCTGCAAGCAGAGGATTTAGATAACATTGGCCTCACTATTGTAAATGCCTRTAGATGCTCCCTCATCTTTTGACAGAGGAGCTCTAGCAATGCAGAGATACCTCTTATCAMACTGTGCACAGTGGCTCTTCTGCTGTTACTAATGACACTTAAATATGACTGTAAGATGTGTCAGGTGGCTCAGCAGGAGCTATGTGACTGTTRCTATTAATTGTAGAACTATTCAGTGTATATATTGTGAAATGCTATCTTGGTTTTTTTTCTCTCCTTAGGCTTTTACCAGTGAACTAGAACGTAAGGCAGATGAAAGTTGCAATGCTGCAGCAGCACAACCAAGTAAGTGGTGTAGGGGCAGGAGGTGGGACATTGGGGAGAATGTGAATGCTGWTAAGTGGTTTTATGTGTGTTGGGAAGCAGAAAAAATACCATCAGGACACTGGGCATTTTTTTGTCCTGATGGACTTGCATTCTTAAATGTCATTTGTAAAATTCTTAGGGAGGAATTTCTTTTGTTGAGGGCAACTCTCAGTGAGGCCAGTCTTATCATAACAAAGAGGGTGTTCTGATAGAAGACAACAGGAGTTTGTGCTGCTCAAAGGATGTAAGAACTTGCCATCACTTGGCCAAACGAGCCATAAATAATATGTATTTCTGTACCTTAATCTCATATAGATGATATAGATATAGATATAAATATAGATATAGATATATACACATGGAGCAGATAATTTCCTTTCCATTTATTAATTGACTGTAGTGGGACACAATAGCCAAAATGTGAGTGTACTGCATCAAGGGCAGAAGGCAGAAGCTTATTCATAAGGATGTAAAGCTCTTCCTCCTCAGGTGCTGAGTATGAAAGAGATGAAGTTGAGAGTGTGCAGATAAAAAGTTATAGTTTAGACTAGAAGAAAGGAACAGTTTTGTATCTATGAAGTRGTAAATATGAAATAACTTACTAAAGTGATGTGATCTGATCTCCATTAGTGGTGACACTGAAGCTGGATGCTCCATTTCTTTTAAGAATTAATTGCAGAAGCTCTGTTACAGAACTGGTCAGATCAGATAAACYCTGAGGCCATTTTCTGAATTCATATTGCATAAATTTACAGAAATAGAAATGGTTTCACTTTCACAGCATTTAAACAGGAAGAATACTGTGCCTCCCTGCTTTCAGAAATGAGATAAAGAGAAAAGCAGAGACACTACATCCATTAAAATGATCTAGAGCATATTCCTTAAAAGGATAAGTAGAAGTTTTGATCAGTGGGAGAGAATAATACTCCAAACTAAAGGAGAGGAGATTAAATGTATTTTTCTTCCCTTTGCAGGTTTAATTAGGCCTGTTTCTACTGAAGAACTGGGAGTTCATGAAATGAAGATTGGTTCCATCACACTCCAAGTAATTAGTGGAGATATTACCAAAGAAGATACAGAGGTTATTGTAAACATATCGAATTCAACATTTGATGCCCAAACAGGTATTATATTGAATGTGTAGACCCTTAGCAATAAATCTGGGCTAGTTATTAGAAGAGGTACAGGGAAGAATTGTCCGCAAGGGAAACTTTCATAAAGTGTTTTTCAGAGGAGAGACAGAGTTTTGATGAGTCAGGAAATAGATCTTAAACAGGTGTTTTGCATGTCCTGAATATTTGATTTAATTTCCAAACAGAAAGCATCTGACCAGATTTTTCTTGCTTAAAACCAAGTATGTTTAAATAAAGGGGAATTTTTAGATTAAGTATAATTCTGAAAAAAATGCTCTTATCCTAAAATGTTTCACTGTAAGACAAAGCCCTGGTAAAGTAAATTGATGTATAAGAAGCAGAGGGTTTTGACATTGTGAATTAGGAGCACGAAAGATACCAAATGATACAGTTCAAAGCCATTTTTGGACACATATAAGTTTGGCTGGTGAAACAATGAAATAGTTTTTCTTAATGACTTCTAATCAACAGTGAAGGAAATTTTCTCTACAGCTAGTGCAGTGTGTCATGGAGAGTACTTGGGGAAACTGTCAAGGTTTTGAACTTTGTGGTGTCTTGCCATACAAGAATTCAGGGTATGTTCAGAGAACAGAAGTTGGGTAGAGTTTTGAGTAGAGATAGTTAAGGTGACTTAATGATTGTGTGTGCTTTTCTTTTGTGATTTAAGGGGTCTTCAAAGCAATCATGGATGCTGCTGGTTCCCAGGTAGCAGACGAATGTGCTGAATATGGTATATTAAGCATACTATTTTGTCTAATTTGTCTTTTTTTGTTGTGATTGTTCTCTCTGAAAGGGGGGACAAGTTGCTTTATAATATCTATTATATTAGATATATAATATCTAATTAAGTTAGATTAAAGTTGCTTTATAACTTTATAAAGCAAAGTTGCTTTATAATAAGTTGCTTTATAATATCTATTCTGATGACATAATTATTCTATCAGAAAAACACAGCTTTCACTTTTAGGAACTTTGAAAAGTCCCTTCTTGTTTTGACACATAGCTTGAGGAAATTTATTTTCATWTTTGTTTAACAACAACTAAAATATCAGTGTATTATGCACTTTATTCTCGTACTGGATCCAAAACATAGCCCTGTACTGGCAACTGAGAAGAAAATTAACTCTATCCCACCTGAAATCAGAACAAACCTGATCATAAGTTCCTCCATAGTCTGCATTCTGCCAGACCAGTAGAGCAATRAAATTTCAGCTCACTGTGATTGGTCTCTACAAGCAGAGAAAGGGAGATTTTTAGATGCATTTAAAAAATGTGCCTGCTCTGAGTCTGGAAATTGACTTTTGAGATGGAATTTCTTGGATTTTTTTTCCCAGCCTTTGGCTCTGTAGAAACATGTGCAATCACAAATAYATCATTAACTTCAAATCAGACAAATATCTCTATTCTCGGAACAACTACATTGATTTTTCTTTTTTTTTTGCTTTCATTTCAAAGAGCTGTTTTTATGTCTTTCTGATTTACAAACCACTCTGTAGGGGGACAAGATAAAAGGCTTGGCTCCAAATTGTTTGGTAAATATGCTTGTATCTGCATTCCCGTGCAGAGGTACAGCCTGCTCGTTTCCCAGGGAAACTTCACCACTGAGCAAGGCCATACCAACATCTATGATATACTCCTAACCCTAAACTTAAAATAAAACTCCTGGTGCCAGCACATTTTTGCTTTTTCGTCTGCCATTTTTGTTGGAATGGACTAAGCAAAGAAATGATAATGTTGGCAGGAACTTAAGACCCTGTTACCATGATCCAAATTACATATTAACTCACTGTACAAAATATTCTCCCAAAAATTCTGAGAGTCAGAYGAAAATCACTTGGCAGATAAATCTTTATCTCAAAGTAAATTTATCAACCTGAAATCAGTGCATGCAGAGCATCTTACAGTCATTACCTTTGTGACCTGTGGGGTGGTCTGGTGTTCTGTGCTCATCAGTCCATTCATCCTCACAATATGACTCCATTTTGTTAGCWAACAGGAGTGCTCTGAAAAATCACAAAAGTCTTCTTAAAAATTCCATACCATTCTTAGATCAGTTGGTCATAACCTTGATGATGTTATTTTAACTGYTCAGCTCTTCTGCAGAATAAGAATTTGGACTTTCAAGGAATAAGTGGCATAAGAAAGGTTTTTGCATATAAAACAATTTGGCATGCTTTTAAATAAAAGTGAGATGTATTTAAAGTCATCATAAATTCTTGATTGTACTTAATAGGAAAATACTTCGTAGCAGAGATCTTAAGAAATAAGAAAACCCACATTTAGTTGAAGTAATTTCTCCAAGAAACCCTGCAGAGAATTTAAAGAGAAAACCAGAATCAACTAAAACCACCATAAAATAGCTCATAATGCATTTCTTTCCACTTTTTCCACTTCTCTTGTAGCACCAATATAAGCATCAGTATTACCAAAACAGATAGCCACTTTGTAAATGTTATTTCTCCTTCTTTATCTTCTCTCTTCCAGCTGGGCAGTATCAAAGTGGCTATATTACTACACAGGGTGGGAATCTGTTGTGCAAGAAAATCATCCATTTGATTACCGATAACCAGGTGAAGAGTCAGGTCTCCCAAGTGCTTCACGTGTGTGAGCAAAGGAGGTACAAATCTGTTGCCTTCCCAGCTATTGGAACAGGTTTGTGTTTTCTTGGGAAAGCAGTGAGGGCTGTAATGGGGGAGGTTCAGAAACAGGCAAACTTAATATGGGTAACAGTAGACTTGCACAAAAGCTGTTCACTAYATGCCTTTTATTTTTATTTAGGTCAAGCAGGACAGAGTCCAGCCAAGGTAGCTGATGAAATGTTGGATGCTATAGTGGAATTTGCAAGACGGAAATCAGTACAGCATTTACAGACAGTTAAAATCGTCATCTTCCAGACAAATATGCTCATGGACTTTTATGAAAGCATGAAAAAAAGAGAAGATTTAGATTCATCCACAACAGAATCATGGTTATCTTCGCTTAAATGTAAGTTGGTGTGTTTTCTGTCTGCATRGGCAAATAAAATGGAAGTTCTTCTATTTACTATTAATAATTGACATACATTTGTCCACAGCCTTTTTTTGGGGCAAAAAACAACCTTCTGAGAAGAAAAGGTCAATGACTTTGGAGAAGAAAGTTGATTTGGTCATATTTCAAATTTGTGGAGAAAGCCAAGAAAAGGTGRATGCARCTGAGTCCTGGATAAAGAATTTAATTTTAAAGGAACAGTTTGAAAACACTATTTCAGATGAGGCAATTGAAAGTTTTGATGAGACACAAATTGCCATTTTGGAAGATCTCCAGAGAAGAAAGCAAGTCACCATTCAGCTTGAAAATAAGCTTTCTCCCCCTCAAATAAAAATTTCTGGTATTAGCAGGGATGTCTGTTCCGTTTCTCTAGAAGTACAAGAAATGATCCAACAAATTAAGTCTACTGAAGAAGAACAATCCAAGGCAGAACTTCTTTATAAYCTGGTAGAATGGAGGTATCCAGGAAGCAAAAATAGTTTTGTTGCTTTTGATAAACTGACAAATATGCAGCTGGAGCATGCCAAAATAGCTAAGAAACCATATCTGGATGTCAAAATTAACAACAAGAGCTACAAGGTGGATCTCAATACTCTGAAGGCTACTGATGACCAAGGAAAAACTATAAACCTTCAACGTGTGACAAAGGATGAAGGTAAGTGATGCTTTTGTTAAGTAAAAAAAGCTTGAATGTGATTATTGAATAATGATTTGGATAAATGCAAACACAGATATCCCAAWGAAGAAAGGTATTCTATAGCTTTTTTTCCTTTTTCTTTYTTTTYCCCTTGGCCAGCAGTTTTGGGTTTCTTAATCAGTGGCAAGYATGACTGAAATCAGAACATAATTTTTAAGTGCAAGTCTTACYTGTACATACATATTTTATGTTAAAGTCTGACAACCGAAAGGGTGTATGAAGAATACATGAATTTTTTCTGGGGTTTTAAAGCATGTTTTAGGTATTGGTATGGGGATAATTAGACTAGAGAAAATGTAGGSCCTTAAGAGTGCATTACAGAGCCAGTGATGTTTGGAAGAGCGAGAGTACTTGTTGAATAAATTATTGCAGAAGGTTCTGTCTTCTTAGCCCTCTCTGTGCAGGTGTTTTTTTAGGATGTGTCTATGATGGTGACCTAGTTCTCTGTTGTAATAATGCAACCTGTGTTTTGCAGATATGCAGTCAATAGAGCTCCCTAAGGACTGGACAGACATGCAAAATGAACAGGTCAAACTGGTGAATCTCAAGCCATCACATCCTGAATATAYAGCAGTTGAGAAGAAATTTAAGGCAACATGTCCCAACTTTAACATAGAGAAGGTGATATCATGTGGGCCGGGGAGGGGGGGAAATGTCAATGCTGGGCAAGAAATACTAATATACTTTCTAAATATTTGCTTATAATGTGTCTGCAACCCAGTACACCTTTTAGATGYCAGTCTCCTCTGCACTGTATAAAGTGGACATAAATCAAATTTCCTAAGAGCTGTTCTGCCATTTCTGATGGTGYGAACCAGTGACCATCAATCCTCAGGCTGACTGTGTTCATTTAATGTGGTACTCACTAGTTAATGTGGTATTTCCAATGAGGAAATTCTATACTGAAATGGAGGCATGAGCAAATGCATTCAGAATACAAAGGAAAATACRAAGTCCTTGCTGACTCGCATAAAGCTTTGGACTAATTTGCAACTTCTGCCCTATCATCCCAGACCCTTTCAGGCTCAGCTGTCAGTTTAAACCAGTGTCAATATTTTATCCTTCTTATTAAGAAGTCTGCGACACAATGCACAGAGATTTAATTGCCAGGGAGAAGATGGAATTGTTCTGAATCGAGAGGAGAGATAAACAGTAGAAAATACAATTAAATTAGGARTGAGAGTAACGTGTTTAAAAAATTTTCTTCCATCACAAGCTTCAATGAGCATGGTCATGAAAACACACAAAGAGAACAAAATATTGCTGTTATATAGAAAAAATCAGATAATGACATGTCTTTTTCTGTTAAAAATGGACAGCTGTTACAGCAATGCCTTTAAGATTATACTTTGGTGGAGAGATACTACTTCCCTTTAAGCCATATTCACATTGTTGGCATAGGGAGCCAGCAACACCCATCCTCCCACCAATTTATTTTTATACAGTAATTTCTTACGGGTTGCTAAGCTACACATTAAAGGAAGCAGTTTTGTCTTGTTGCTTAGATCTAGAAGAGAAACTTCTAGGTATTCTAGCTTAGATCTAGAAGAGAAACTTAAGTTCAGTGTAATGCTATTGCTACAGTGTATCCTTTAGTGAGAAAAATAATTAGTAAGGATGAATAGGATGGCATCTTAAGGCATCTTACRTCATTGCTTCTAGCAGTGGTACAGCAGCTTGTTTCTAGAAATGACAGTGCACAACTACCATGATTACTGTGTACCTGTTATACGAGGCTAGACAAATGCATGCCCAAAATTGGAACTCTCTCCTAAGCTGTTCAGTTTCTGATTTTTCAGGAGGCTTATGTATTTAGTTCCTTTACCCAAACTTCATACTTACAGGGCATAGTGAATATTGCTGTAATTATTTCAGTTTGATTTCAGTTTAATGCTTTCCTGCCATGATAAATACTCATCCCCACCAGTATAAATATAGTTAATTTTGTAATTTTGCAGATTGAAAGAATACAAAATCGCATCCTCTGGCAGACATACCAATTAAAGAAAAATTTTCTCTGCAAAAAGAACAAGAATGGAAATAACGAGAAGTTGCTGTTTCATGGRACAGCTGCATCCTCAGTGAGTCCTATTAACTACTATGGATTTAATCGTGGATATGCTGGAAAGAATGGTGAGCCATTATCCAAATCAGTTAATTTCCTAGATATGAGTGCTACAGAACTCAAACATTATAGTGCTGTCAGCACAACATGAAAGCTGAGTGAAATTAGAGAACAAAATAATAAACAGCTCYGAGATTAATTCATATGGACAGAGGAATTATCCTGTTCAGTTAATCCCTTGTTGTGGGATGCCRCCATGCAAAGGCTATCAAAAAGGGTTCATCTACTCTGAAATGAAGCCTGGGCAGTTTTTCGGAATTGTTTTGTATCATTTACCTGGAGAAAGGAACAAGGAATACTGTTCAATATCTCAGCTGAGGTAACAGCTACTAGCTGAAGGTATCTCCTCTCCTCTTCAACAAAGACAGGTAGAAGAGTAGTAGAAGTGCAGATGCTTCTCCTGCTGCCTCCAAAAATTAGGACAGCATAAGCTTCCACATCCCTACCAATTTCATGCTCACAAAATCTGTGACATTCACTAGTTAATTCTTAGCCTTTAACAGTTGTTAGAGACAATTTAAATATTTAGCATAAAGATATTCTACATTAGTTCAAATACTGTTTTTTCCAGTTATGCTAATGCAGTCATGTTATGTGTATTATTTCATAGCATTCAAGGATGAAGGACAGGCTCCAAAGAAGTGGAACATGGACTGAATTGAGGTCCTAGTTGATCTTAGTGGCCATGTAACCTCACTTCAGAAGTCCTTAATTTTTGTTCTTAATGTTTGGTTCCTTAAGACAGAATTGTACATGCCTAGGGCTGACTTGATATTGAGAGGGCTGGACAGGTTAATTCAGATCTAGTTGACTCTTCAGTGTGATCTGGATCCAAAAGTAGACCTTTTTCTGTCTGGATCCCCTGGAGGTATTTACACTGAAATTTTCCTGCGTCAATGAAGCCCAGCATACACAAAATATATCAGRTTGTGCACAGGTAGGAATGGCAGCCACAATTTCTTTTTAAAATGACTGGAAGAGATGTGGTTTTGCTTTCCTGCTCTTTGGTAGTGTCAGGTACTCGGGAAGCAAAAGCTCTAGATCCCCATGTCCTCTGTCTGCTTGACATCTGCCTTTTCATCTCAGCTGTGATTAACAATTGGGAAGGCAAGCTTCCCTTCTGTCAGGCTGGGTAGCCAAGCAGAAGTATCCAAAGATCAGGGCAACCAGACAGGAAGCACCTGTCTGGCTTGAACAGCTTTTTACCCATGTCAGAAAAAAGAAATCTGTCTTGAACAAAGACATGTGATTCCTCYAACTTGCTGGGAAGTGTAACTAGAAAACTCTAATTACAATTTATAGTCATTTTAAGTACAAATGTCTCTGAAGAATTGCAATTTGATGGAGTGTAGACTTAACCACATTAAACAGAGGAGCCCTTTCCTCCATAGTAAAGGAAAGTCAAAATCTGGGGGTTGATACTTACCTGGTATCTGTGTGGGTTCATATATGATTGTAATACAAAGGATTATTGCTAGAATTCTGTGTTTGAATTCTAACTACATTTATAACTTCTGCAGAGTTAAAAATAAAAGGAGTTTTAGAGAGTCTTATGAGAACGAGAACACTAACTGTATTTGAAAATGTCTTTCCTAACAGCTGCTGCCTTTGGAAATGGAACCTACTTTGCTGTTCATGCACGTTACTCTGCTCGGGATGCTTACTCCATTCCAGATGTGAATGGCAAAAAACACATGTACTTGGCTCAGGTCCTAACTGGGCAGTACTGTGCTGGGAGAAAAGGACTAATTGCTCCACCACCAAGGAGCCCATCAGATCCTACTGACCTGTATGATAGTGTGGTTGATAATGAGTCTAATCCATCAGTGTTTGTCATATTTAATGACATTCAGGCATATCCACAATACCTTATTACATTCTCATAATAGAATGGTCTTAATAGCCTCAAAAATTTTAGTGCCTTTTACATGTAAGAATTTACAGGTCAATTTTTTTTATTCTTTTTACATCTAGGTTTCTTTATTGATCTATCCATGCGTTTAGCTATGTCTTCAAATTATCAACACAAGGACTATCRTAAGCAAATATTTCAGAACATGTTATTTCAGTACTCAAATTTCAAGTTCTGTTACGCAGAGATGCAGGCAAGAGCTGTGAGAATAGCTCTGTCCTCTTCCTACACAAGGCAGAGGGGAGTGGTTAAAGAGGGAGCTGCTCTGCCTTTACCATGGCCAGCAGTAAGAGGTGTAGGGCAGGTCCTATTTCCAGTATTCACCATAAAGCACCTTGTGAGGATTTGTTTAAAACGTTCAAAATGTTTTGTGCTGAGGGAATCTGAAAGGTCTTTTCCAATCAAAACAGTGCTATGTTTCCAAATAACCTCACCCATCAGCAGAGTTTTCAGTCATCCTTAGGTACCCACTCAGCCTTGTTGGTGCTACAAGTCTGGAAGAAAAAACAATCCAGTATGAATATGCACTTTGTATTTATTGTTACAGCCCCCTTACCTATATGTTTGTTACCCTGTCATACTTCGTAATTCTCTAGGTATAAACTACTGTATCCATACCCATTTCTTAGGGGAATTTCCATAGTCCCCACTATTACTTCYAGCTTCCACAAAGTTACTGCTTTTCAATTTTAAAGACTGTAAAGAGGGAGTTTTAATTTTTTCTTTTCAGTACTGAAGCATTAACCCTGTAGAATCACCATTTTGCAGAGGCAATTGCAGAAGCATAACTCAGTTAATATAAACAACYTGAAAATTTTTAAATTTCTCTGAAAAAAGTAAATAATGCCATTTTTACATCTTTGCAAGCAGTGCTTTTAATCAATTTTTAATCATAAAACTGCCAATCAAAAGCCATATACACRGTTTAATGAAAGTTTCAAACAGTTWCATTGTATTGCTGMGTTGTTTACAAGAGGAACACACTTCACTTAGAAGTTTTGTTTCACATTTGAATATGTTACAGTGATGCAATAAAGACTTCGAAGACAAAATGGTTTTCCTGTACTGTATGAGTGACATGATTTGTGTGTATGAATTCCAGGTGAAATTACTCTGCCTTAATTGAAAAAAAGACCGGTACTGCAAATGACTGTCACAGTGTCTTAAAATTTCACCATGATGTTCTTATTGCCTGCAAAGAGRAAAAGGGTTTACAGTATCTGTAGACTGCAATATAAAATATACTGCTTTTCACRGTAGGTGCCTATGCAGCACTTCAGATGAATGTCCTGCATAAATTTCTATTTAAAGCAAAGCAGAGTTGTACCCACTCCTGCTTTAATAGATTTTGCTCCCTGTAAAAATATRAGGATGCTTTTCTCCTTTCTCTACTTTTTTTTTGGGTGCTTTTCTGTGTCATGGAAACATTTCAGCAGCCAGAGCAACTCAGTTTAGCTGAAAGCACCAGACACCCACCAGTTTCTCCCATTGCTGTCACTGAGCAGCCGAGGGAGCCAAGACACACCACTTTCTATTTGTGTGGCACTCGTTATACCTGAACACCTTGGAAAGCAGCAGGAGCTGCAGTATGAAGCCCTACAAAAACCCAGAAACTTTTATCCCTGCTGGTGGTGGTCAAAGTTTCTTTAGTTATTTCCATCCTAGAGTCTTGGGGATACTCTGTGGTGTTTGTGGACTGAGAAGCTGGGAAAAGGCMGTTGTTGTGTATGGAAAATGCAATCCCAGGCACAAAAGGAGCTGGCGGTGCTGGTTTACAGATGGCTGGATGTGACCCAGCCTGTGCCCAGGTGGCCAAGAAGGCCCATGACMTCCTGGCTTGTACCAGCAATAGCATGGCCCCAGGACCAGGGCAATGACCTTTTGCAGTGACCAGCTGCATTCCAGGTGCACTGGTGAAGCATCTCCAGCACTGTGGGTTTTTTTTGGGCCCATTGTGACAATAAAGACATTGAGGTGCTGGAGCACGTCCAGAGAAGGGAACGGAGCTGAGGAAGGGTCTAGAGGAGGAGATGCGGATGGAGCTGGGAGGGCTCAGCTTGGAGAAAAGGAGGCTCAGGGGTGATCTTATTGCTTTCTACAACTCTCAGGTGGTTGTAGCCAGGTGCAGGTCTTCTCCTAGGTTACAAGCCTCAAGGGTTTATGTTGAACAACAGGAAAAAATCCTTCCCAATAAGGGTAGCCGAGCATTGAATGGGCTGCCCAGGGAGGTTATGGAAGCATTCAAAAASCGTGTAGAAGCGGCGCTTGGTGAGATGTTTCAGCGGCGGCCTTGGCAGTGCTGGGTCAGCGCTCCGCCTCTGTGGCTCTGGATTGCACTGCCCCCGCCCCCTCAGCTCCTGGCCCCGCCCCTCGTGCGTCGTGTCCAATCAGAAGCGCTCGCCGCTCTCTCCCCGCCCCCTCCGCCCGCTTATAGGCGGAGGGCTCTCCCCCGGCGCTGCCTCCATGGCGACGCGGCGGACGGGCACTCCAAGATGGCCGCCGAGCCGGGCGGCGGGCGCGCCCGGTCCGCCCGCTGCTGCCGCCCGCCGCTCGCCGCCTTCACCGCCGGGCTCTTGCTGCTCCTGGCGCTGCCTCACTCCGCCTCCCCCTCCTCCTCYTGTGACCACCGCGTGCCCAGCAGCGACCAGGTGGGGCCGATCGGGRGGGCTCAGGCGGCTGCGAGGGGTGYTGAGGGGCAGAGGCTCCCCCGTTGGCCGTTCCCGCTGTTGGAGCGGTCCCTTCTCGGCTTTCCCGGGCCGGGCTGTGCCGGGTCTGGCCCCGTCATCCCGGTGGGATGCGTCCCGTTCCCGGYGAGGGAAGGGTCGGGAATGGCTGGAAGGGGCTGGCGCGGAGCGGGGCTGCCGTGGCGAGAAGGAGCCGAGGGCCCGGGGCTGTGGGTGCTGTGTCTGTCCGGGTCAGCTGCCTCGTCCAGCGCTTCGTGCTTCTCCCTCTAGGTTGTCTATCAAGTTCCTCTGAAGGAAAATCACGTCACGAAGAGAAACGTGGATCAACAGCTAAGAATTAAGATTGTGTATGACAGAAGCGTTGAGGAGTGAGTATAATGCTGTGGCAGATTTCTTTTTTTCCATGGCTAAGAATGGAAACCTTAGTAACTGAAGCTCATTTGTTTTGTTCTTTAAATATAGTTTGCTCCCTGAGAAAAGACACCTTATAAAGGTATGTAATATTTGCTTCCCTTCTTTGTTTGTATACATTTTATTACATGGATGTAATTAAGTTCAAAGTTGGTTTAATTAAAACCTTGAATACCAGCAATTTAATATTCCTCTAGTCCAGGAAATCAAAGCTTTGTGTATAGATTATGGCTCCATTACAAATAATTCCAGAGTTCTGCTGCATGTTGTTTGACAGATGTTTGCTGTATCCCAAGATGTAAAGATCTCAGTGAAAAATATAGTGTATATAGTTTTTGAAAATTGAAGTTGTACATTCTAATTAATCCTGGTTTCCTTCCCATTCTGTCATTCCCATAACAAAATACAACAATACTGAAACAAAGTATTTCCTAAATATATTGATWATAATCGAACTTCCTTAGAGAGTCTGGGTTTCTCCTATTCTGCTATCCTGCAATATCTAGCAAGTTTCATGTAACTTGGTAGTTAATGCCTTTAGGGTGAGTTATGTCTACACTGCTACTGGGTAACTCTGATTTTTGTTCTTYTCAGAACAAACTCTTCCCACAAGCTATATCTTATTTGGAAAAGACATTTCAAGTGCGCAAATCCGCAGGTGCTATTTTGCTGAGCAGGTATGTGAAAATCTGTTGAATATCAYTTGCTATATTTGATACATAACGTTGTGCTGCATAGCCTTTAAAAGAAGATTAGAGTGTAAGAAATGCTCTGCTGAATCAGATCAGTGACCCATCTGATCCAGTGGGGGTGGCAGATGCTCTTTTGCAAATCTGGCAACCTTCCATGAGCAAAGCCTGCATTTGTTGTAGCAGAGATGTTCAAAGCTATACATGCTGCCAATTCTCTTCTCCCCCATTTATGAACCTGGCCCTCGTCTCTCTTTGAACCTGTGGATGCTCCATTAACTACTGGAAGCATTATGTCTTCCCTGGTAGGGTAATTAACAATTTTCACTGTGAAAGTTACGTTAAGTAGCAATGTAAGTATATTATATAAATATATAAGTGCTGTAAGACTATTCTATAGTTCCCTTTCAATAATAAAACAATATTGACTGTCTTTCATGTTTCATTAAAGGCAATGCGTGACAAACCAATATTTAAGGAGGAAAGCTGACCCTCACAGATATTGCCAAAAAGCCTGTGCAGACCATACGAGATGTGGGCCAGTTATAGTTCCTGAGAAACACCTCCAGGTAAGCTCAGCTATCCAAGTGTTTCCTAATCTTTGAAATACTACTATTCATGGAAATTAAAAAGTGAATATTGGTAACTGTGCCTAAGTGACCCGTTTGCTGGACATCACTAAGTCTGAATGAAAGAATAGAAMAACTTAAATTAGTGGAAGTTTCTGTAGTTCATGTTCTTGAATCAAAATAAAAGTGGACTGGTAACTATCTTCAGAGTTCTGTGTTCTGATGCTTGTACAGAGARGATGAGATTTGGAGCTTGCTAAATTGCCACTAGTCACTGTGTTATTCACCTTGGTCAATGAGTTGGGTTTTCACAGAGTTAATAGTTGATTTTTTGAAGACCTTGTTTGAAGAGGTTATCCATTGACCCAGGAATGTGGTGCAAGAAATTCTTCACCGTTGTTTTCTTGCATGAATTTTTGATTCAGTTACAGTATGTGATCAGTAGAACTCTGTTTTGCTTTTGTTTAACTTGCAAGTTTCAACTATATAATAAAAACATAGCAGATTACATGAGAAATGCTATTGCTATTTATGTATATTAGTTTTGTGAGCCAAGATTTTGGTTTTTGATGTATAGGAAATACAGGGTGCTAATTCTGGGAAGCTTGGCAGGCCTTTTTTTTTTTGGTTTTTTTTTTAGGTGCCACCTTCCTTTTGTCTAATAAATCAAAAAAGCTACACATTTGGAAGTTATTCCTTGGCTCTGGTTTTGYTTACTGTTCTTCATAGGGCATTTTCTTCTGCTGTCTTACAGCAGGATTTATTTTTGGCTTCAAGCTAATTGAATTGTAATGCAAAATTTTGGTCATAAATATTTTAATTGTTCCATTTGACCTTTGAAAAGCAATGCAGGGTGTACAATGAGAGTAACTGGCACCGCAGGCCCACGAGCTCACCTGACCAGGAAGGGGTTCGAGATGCTGACTTTGTGCTCTACGTTAGTGCTCTCACTACTGAAAGGTGTGGCCATGAAAATATCATTGCTTATGCAGCCTACTGCCAACTGGAAGCTGAAATGGATAGGCAAGTATTCCCTCTGTTGCAAACTCTTTTTAATTAAACTTTCAAGTTTTTTAATTGTTCRGTTGTGGAATTTGATTGTTTGCCTTTGTGGTATAACAAAGGAGSGGTCATTGGGACAGACAAGCACTGCATTTATGTACCATCAGGAAACCATCAAATAGTGCTTAACTTGCAAAGCTGAGCCATGTGACTCAAAGCTGATCCTCCACTGTTAATGCCTTAACTTTATCTCAGGATCCTGTTTCTGTTGAGTTGAATGCCATGATTTCACAAACTTAAAGAATGCAAGYTCCTACTTATGTGACTCTTGTTTCCATTTCAGTTGTAGTCGCTCTCACAGACTCGATATCTCGTAGGGTCCAACTTAAGATTCAGGTCCCTTGCACTGTAGTCACTGACWCCTGTGCAGAATACTGAATATAGAGATTGATTGACCCCATTCCACTCCTCCCCATCCCAACAGGAAATTAGTCACTGTATTGTTAACAGATTTATAAATTATTGGGATGTCTTTTTTTTTACATTCATCTATTTCTTCTTTAAATCTTCTGCTGCTTCAAGTGCATAATGATTTGAATTTTGTGGTACTTTACTGTCTTCCAGGCCAATAGCAGGATATGCTAACTTGTGTCCAAATATGATTTCAACGCAAGCTCAGGAATTTGTTGGCATGTTGTCTACTGTGAAACACGAGATAATCCATGCACTGGTAAGGGTTGATAAAATGTTGCYCTGAAATGGATGCCTGCTTCCTCATA